ATCTTTTTATCTTTAGTGTTTGTTAATGATGGAAAACTTTAAGTGACAGTGTGTGTTTTCCCTGGCGATAGGGGGCAGGAGATTTTTAAATTGTTGCAAGCCAGCATTATTTTTGTGTTCAAGTAAGACCTTTCCAACAGATGGCCGTTAGGGTCAAAAAGCCTTGGAGGTGCAAATAACAAGAACATCAGATTCCCTTTCATCACTGGCAACAAGTGAAGAGGTAAATGCGTTATAGAACGTTTATTAATGCTGAAAGTTTTGTAGCTATGTGTTACAAATCAGTAAATGGGTTTTGTCCTCTCGGGCTTCCGTAGAAGGAAGCGTGGCATCCAACGGCGTCGCCCAGAGACTTAGACCCGCTCCCATGTATTTTACACTCAATTTTTATAGTCATATGTTATGAAACCGCTAATATTTTTCAACAGCTAGGCATCTTTTCATTCATTTACAACATTTCAATGGATATTTCCAGATATTAATGATTAAAAACTACACATTGTCACTTTAATGACCGGCTCAAATCAGGTGAATAACTGAGTTTCTATAAAATGAAATGACTGTTGAGGTTTTTTGTAAAAACATGGATGCTGCTTTTTGGTGGAGGGAGATGAAGACGTAACAAGCTGCTGGTGTTTTCAGCTGAAGAGAAGAAAAGTGACAGCAGCAGGAGAAAGTGCAGTAATCTGGAACACGGAGACGCTGAGATGAATGAAAATCAAAGTTATCTGTGGAGTGTGTGTCCATATGGTGTGAGCTATGGGGGTTGATGGGGAAGAGCTTATTCGGTCTTACGTAACAGAAGAGTGCAGCTTCTTCAACCCGACTGTGAGAAGAGAGGGAGAGAGAGAGGGAGACAGCAGGCTCTCCATTTCCTTCTTGCAGCTGTGCACGCTGGGAGATGAGAGCTGATGTTTTATTGATGCTCAGCGTGTGTTTGGCTGTTAACCGTCCGGGCAGCGTTAACAACACGGCTGCTGTTCAGTAGGCTGCTGAGAGTCCTGTCGTGTTTTACCGTGCGGGCATGGATGTCGCTTCTCTCCATCAGAGCTACTCCAACATTTACTCACCTCACTACCAGGTAGGACCGTCGGGGGTCAGCAGAGCAAGCTGCTTCTCTCTGAGCCAGTTCCTCATGCATAGTCATCGTAAAGTCTGTGTTTACTCGCTGTGTTGATGCGACTCTAGTTAGACTCGAGTCAGTAACTGGTTAACGTGCAAATAAACTCACAACAGGAAGCTTCCCTGACTTTTCCTTAACATGCATTTGATTCTGTTTGCAGTGTAGGCATTGACTTTAAAGCTGTTAATTAATTATTGACCACAGCTCTAATGGAGCTGCAGATAACGAAGTGCTGCACGTGTTTGAGGCATCAGCAGGGATTTTGGATGCGTTTGGAGCCTCAGATGATAAAGTTTCCTTGAGAAAAAGCTCAAGGAGCAGTTATTCCTGGCAATTTTATTTTTAGGTCCACGCCAGTTTTAACTCACATCACTCAGTTGTTCCCTGGTAAGGTCTATTCTGGGGTCCCGGGGGGGAAGCTCCCCCAGATAGTCGAACCTCGGATTCAGGAGGAACAATGTGGTTTTGGTCCTGGCCGTGGAGCACTGGACCAGCTTTAGACCCTTAGGGGGGTCCTGGAGGGCGCGTGGGAGTTTGCCCAACCAATCTGCAAGCGTTGTGTGGATTTGGAGAAGGGGGGTACTTCAGGAGTATGGGGTACCAGGTCCTACGAACTGTTAGGTCCCTGTAGGACCATGTCAAAGCTTGGTCTGCATTGCTGGCAGTAAGTTTCCAGTTTCCTTTGCCACCGATTCTGTTCATAACTTTTATGGAGGGATTTCTAGCCACAGCCAAGGTGTGGAGGGGACCTTGGTGGCCTGAGGATCAGGTGTCTGCTTTTTGCAGATGATGTGGTCCTCTTAGCTTCATCAGAACGTGATCTTCAGCTTTCGCTGGAGCGGTTCGCAGCCGAGTGTGAAGCAGCTGGGATGAGAATCAGCTCCTCTAAATCTGAGACCATGGTCTTGATTCGGAAAAGGGTAGAACGCCTTCTCCGGGTCAGGGATGAGGTCCTGCCCCAAGTGGAGGAGTTTAAGTATCTCGGGGTCTTGTTCACAAGTGAGGGAAAGAAGGAGAGGGAGCTCGCTGTAGGTGGATTGGTGCTGCATCTGCAGTGATGCGGGCATTGTACCGGTCTGTCGTGGTGAAGAGAGAGCTGAGTCAGAAGGTGAAGCTCTTGATTTACCGGTGGATCTACGTTCCTACCCTCACCTATGGTCATGAGCTTTGGGTAGTGAGCGAAAGAATGAGATCTCGGACACAAGCCGCCAAAATGAGTTTTCTCTGCAGGGTGTCTGGGCTCTCCTTAGAGATAGGGTGAGACGCTCGGTCATCCGGGAGGGGCTCGGAGTAGATCTGCTGATCCTCCACATTAAGAGGAGCCAGATGAGGTGGCTCGGGCGTCTGGTCAGGATGCCTCCCTGGTGAGGTTTTCCTTTTCCTTCCACCACAGGCTCACACCCTTCAAACTCCAAACAGAGACACCTCTGCTGGGTTTTGACTCCTGGAAATTGTTGCTGTGAGGCCAAACTTCTGAACAATGGTGCCATAATGCAGCTTCAGATGAATTTCATTAGTTTCAATGTGTTTTGTGTTGTACAATAAAAAACATATTTATCTTTTTGTTTATTTTAGTCCTTTGTTCCAAGCAACATAACCCTGTGCTTCCCGAGGTCTCTCTAGAGTCCGCAGCACTGCAGGAGGGCGATGTCATTCAGATGGTTTAAATGAAAGCTTTTGAGAAAGAAAAGCACCAAAAGGTTCAGCAGAGAACGAGCTCCTGTGTTGGGTGTGTTCGTTATGGTGATCTCATACTTTTAGCTGTTCTCCAGGCTGCCTGATTCCACAGAGCAGCGGTTCCCCAGGTTGGGACCCTGCTGTGAGCTAGTCATGTCTGGTTTAACAAAGTCAGGGTCTAGAGACGATCCCGTCAATCAAACAAAGCTAGAAAAAGATTCATATCGTAATATTTTCACTCTAACTGATGTAAAAGCTAATAGTTGTAAATACAAGGCATTTGTTTTTCATTTTCAATTTATAATAAAAAAATAAAAAGCAAGTTTTTTTAATTATTTGTTTTTGAATTGGATAAACAAATGTTGTTTTTGGTGACAACTGTTCTGTGTAAATAATACGTACTTTACATTTAATTTGTAATTCTGTCTAAAAAAGGACACACGTTGGATGAAACTATCATTCATGTCGTTTCCTGATGGGAGCAGCTCAGAGATCCTTATGGAAGTAACGAATGCTTCTGGAAAATGACTTTCTAGATCGGCTCACTTTGCAGAGACAAAAGTTTTAAAAGCCCCAAAAGGAAACTTCTAAAAGTGATCGACGGGATTGGTGATGTAAGAGTTACCGCATATCCCCCTGCTGACACACGTCTGACTCAACAAGGTTGAGGCGGTTACTGTGAACTTAACCGATGAGGTTTAACTAAGCATCCTCTCTCTCTCTGTCTATCCGTGTTTCATCCTCAGCTCGAGGCTTTGAAAGAGCAGAATTCCAAACACCAGGAAGAGCTCAGCCTGTCGAAGCAGCGAAGCAGCTCAGAGAAACAGCGGATCAGTGTCCTCTGCAAGGAAATGTGAGTACTGATAATAGCCCGGGTGTTTTTTCCTGCCTGGTGCCCGCTGTGAAGGTGACCCCAGCCTTCCAGTTCATTAGGCCGGCGCTGTTAAATTTAGCCTGGAGGTCTGAGCTGCTCGGGTTATGTGGAAGAGGTGGTGTAGCCGAACCACGACTGGCAAAGTTGGTCAAAAGAAAAAACATAACGTAAATCAGAACAACCCAAATATGAGGTCTCTAGAGATGCTCACACTCATTATGTATGTTGTAAATAAGCTAGACTGGACGTGATGATGGAAACCATTCAAATGCATTTGACTCATTATCACAGCAGGAATAGCCTCCTGAGTGCTCTGGCCTTCATATAAAACTTCTGCATGAATGTGTTCAGCAAGATATAAACTTCTTAAAGGAACAATATGTAAGAATGCTACGGTAAAATAATCACTGATGTCCCAGTCATGCTGGAAGGAAGGTCATGCTGAAACAGATTTCATTCTCAGCCGGCTGGGAGGTTTTTGTCCTTTCCAAAAACAAAAGCGGGACGTAGGGTTTTTCTCAGTGGCAAGGCGCCTGGCCTTGTGAGGCGATGTCTTGCGAGGCCAGGCGCCTTGCTTATGAGGACACGGTCCTTCCTTGGTCAAAGAAAACGAGTAAATGGAACAGACTTGCATCACGTGACCGCGGCTTCCATGCAGGGTATCCGCGGGTCCTTAAAAAGTCTTAAATTAGCATTTCCAAATTTAAGGCCTTAAAAATCCTTAAAAATGACAAATAATCCTTAAATACAGTTTCCAAAGGTCTTAAATTACCAAAGACTCAATAAACAAGATTACTTTATTTCTATAAAATTTTCATGAATTTCTAGTTAGTGTTCAGCATTTTATGTGTGTCATATTTGCATAAGTGGAACTGTACACATTCAGTTGGATGTGAAAGGGGGCTATTTTTAGATGTGCACATTAGCTGGTTAAGCTAGTGGGAGATTGCGCCATGGGGAAGTGCAAGTTTAATGGTAACTGGATGGCTAATCCCACGTTCGCGACGTGGTTAGCACCGATTTCAGGCAATAGCTGGAAATTATAAATTAAATGACATTTAAAAAAAATTGCTTAAATTTGGTCAAAGTGGCCTTAAAAAAGGTCCTAAAAAGTCTTAAATTTGGCCCCCTTAAACCTGCAGATACCCTGTCCATGGTGATCACGTAACGTCACGTGACACGGGAGACAACGTTATATTTTATACGTATTAGTTTCAATATAAATATATAACGAGTCTTTTACTTTTTAAATTGTGTATATGTTTATTAAATTAAATATATAAGTGAGTTACTACCCGCTAGCTACCGAAGCTGCAGCTACTAAGCTACTAGCCAACCATAGATAACTTCTTTGTGTCTAAAATAACATTTTAAATTAGCTGACTTACTTTTAAACTTGAACTTTGCCCCGAAGTAGCTGCCGGCTTCTGATCCGCCGTCCTTCTGAAAATACCGCGGTGTATTCTGGGTAATTTTTGACCAAGGCTAGGCTACAAGACACCTCCCGTGTGTCCTCGCTCAGCTAGCTAAACGGCTAACAAACGGAGAACACACGCGTCAGTAGAACATGAACACTGGAACACGTCTTGGCGGCTCCTGATGACGTATCTCCTAGGCAACCGGGGCGGGGCCAAGACACCAAGGCAGGTTCCTTGGCATTGAGAGACACCTGTAGTTACTGTTTACAGCCAGTGAGTTTAGGGGTTGATGAGTGATCATTTCTGGTGAATGTGGGTGTGTCAGGAGGCTGGACATGGTTCAGAAACACCTGAGCACATTTGTAGGACAGGTGAGGTTCATAAAGCAGAAACTGCATGGAGCGGTGCATCATGAGCTCAAGGCTTTAGTGAGCAAAGTTTTATACAATGGAGGAAATAGTTATTTGGCCCCTGGCAGATTTTCTAGGTTTGTCCAATGACAAACGTACAGTCTGATTATAACGGTAGGCTTGTTTAGCAGCGACAGACAAAAGGAAGATTAAAATTTTACTTTAAATAAAGGATAGAAACTGATTTGCATTCATCTGAGTGAAATACGTATTTGAACCCTCTAAGATAAAACCTTGTTTGCATACACACAGGTCAACAGTTTCTTGTACCTGATGACCGAGTTTGTGCACATTTAGGAGGATATCTGGCCCCCCTCCTCTGTGATGCGGGTGTGATGGAGGCAGGCTGATGCTGGAATCATGCTGGACGTTACACGGGGTTCCTTATATAGGAAACGTTTTACTGGTTGGCTTCATGAACTGACCTGTAGTGGAACATTTACTATGTGAAGGTCTTAAGAAGACTTGTCGTGATTTGGTGCTACGTGTCCCACCCTGGCCTGTTCAGTCACATGTCTCTGTTCATGGCTCCCACCTGCCTCTCGTTCTCCAATCAGCCAAGCTCCCAGCCTCGTGTGTTTAAACCCTCTCAGGTGTGTCTTTAGTCGGTTCATTGCCTCCATGTCCTGCGTGCGTTCATCATTAAAAACCTTTACGTCTGCCTGCCTGCTTCTTCACCCTCACCTGCGCTTCACTCACCTGCACACGTGGCACTATGTAAATGAACTTGACTTGAATAAGGAAAAAACAGAAAAATAGACGGTGAGCTGTCTGTAAAATCTGTCCATTTCACATTTTCTAATGCAGAAGAGCTTCTCCAACTCTTAAATCGTGCAGTTTCCTGATGTAAAGTCCCGTTTCCTGTAAAGCCTAGATGCATCTGAGAACATGAAGGTTCTGGAAGTACATTTTCTAAATCCAGTCACAAAGCGGTATAAAACTTTGTGGAGTAACTAAAGTAGTAGTAACAAACGTCACAGATTTTTCTTTTGTTTATTATATAAATTATTATTTTAACCCTGAATCTGTCATCATTTAACGTGAGTCTACTACGAGGAGCTCTTTAGTGTGGAGCACCCTAACCCGTCTAAGGTGACCACCTTTCTGTCTTTAAGCAGGTAGCTGTAGATCTGCAGCCTGAGACCCAGGTCTATTTATAGACCTCTGGCTTTAGCGAGGCTGTCACGTGCCTTTGTGAGCATGTGCATGTTTAGTGCACGTACACGTGTGTTTCTGAGTCCTTGCATCCCTCTACCCCCCCTCCTGAGTCATCAGCGCCTCGAGCTGTGACGTCAGCGCTACAGATTGGCCTTACTGGCTGGGCCACAGTCATCCTTCTGAAGCGTGTCGAGGAGATGGAAACACAAAATGTCAGCAAGGCCGCGTCTGTTCCGTTTCTTATTGTAGGTTTAAATAATTACGGGGGAAAAACGTCTGAATGCACAAATCATGTTAGAGCTCCGTGTTGCACCCCCCACCTGCTTTGTCCCAACAATGTGTTCCTCCATCCCCCTTCCTGCTGTGATGTAATCTCTCCTCTCCTCCTGGGACCGCCTGGCTCCAGCAGCTGTGACATCATCAGAGTGTGTGTGTTTGTCTGGAGACAACGTGGCGTTGTGTCATCTGAGACCGCTGGGGCTGATGCCGCTCTGCGTGGTCTTTGTTTTGTAGGCACAGTCGAGCTGGGACCAAACCAGGAGAGTTCGTGTCTTGTCTCAGAAAATGTCACCAACACAAGACGACAGCTGATCAGTGCTCGCTGGTTGCCGTTGCTCTCAGCGTCAGTCTTAAGGCTTCTCCGTGGGTCTGGAGAGATCTGCAGCTAGAAATCAGACAAGCTCTTCTCTGAATGTTTTTAAAACCGAGCTCAAGACGCATTTCAGCTCTTCGGCTTCTGGCCAGTCACAGTGAAGGATACACAGTCACGTTGCTCTTTATTTATTGTGTTGAATCTTTTTTAGGTTGTTGTCTGTTGGATTTTTAATGTTTTAGTGCAGTTTGCTTTATGAATAAAGCGATGATGATGATGATGATGATGATGATGAAGAACACCAGTCAGAGGTAGCCTAAGTTATACTTCTCTACCTTTGTGGGTGCGGAGACACACGACGCCATTTTGCCTCAACGCAAGGACTCCCTAAGGACTCTGAGCCTCGCGGTGTGTGACGTACGCGTCTCAGCTCTGATTGGCTGGGTTAGAGTTCTCAGGGGGTGGGGGTATTTGAATGGGAGCCCCCCATAAGGAAGCACTGGCATGGCTGGCCAGGCTAGTCTTGCGTTCGGTACAGCCTGATCTCTTGTATGTTAAAAAATGCAACAAGTACTTTTGCATCGTGGAATACTTGAACAAGGAGTAGAGCCGGCCGCAAACCGGGCTTTACCAGCTGTATTTATTTATTTATTTATTTATTCTACAGCGGGTGAAACGTCATTCTAGAGCCTAAAAGAGGATAAAATAAGCATCTTACATTTATTTTCCCATCCGACTGTTACAGGTACAGCATATCTGTCTCAGAGCAGCCTTCCATGGCTGCTGCCTGCTGTGTGGCGGTGCAGGATGCTGGAGAGCTGTGATGAGAGTAATTATTACACAGCAACAAGCTGAATACTAAACAGTCTCCTAGTCTCCTGTAGCCTCACAGATCTTTGTTTGATTCAAATCAAGAGATTGGTCCTCATGGGAATAAAAACTAATTCTCACAGAAATAGTTTAGTTCCAGTTTTGAGAAATACCAGAAGCTAGAAAACGTATCGTCATCGACATTTCTGACTCTTATCGAGGTCATTCTTCCCATGTCAGTAAATCTGATAATAAAAAATAAAAAGATGTGTAGGTTGGCAACGTTCATGCCCGTTAAGAAGCTGTACCACCTTGAGTCACGTAAAAATGTGATGCACTTGACAGCCCCATCTAGTGGACAACTCGTGCTTCTGCACGTACCTGTAGTTATCGTCCGTTTATCGTTATCGAGGGGAAATCCTCGATGTGTGGTATATTAGTTTTAAGCCGTGTCGCCCAGCCCTACCAGAAGCTGTAACCTTCACCTTATATCATCTGATTTGTTTTCTACTTTAATGCTTCAGCACAATGTGATGTTGGTGTTTAGTGACTTGTAAAAGGTTCTGACCTGGTGCAGGCGTTTGATTTCATCCTTCATGTCCTAAAGCATAAATGTGTCCAAAATGGTTTCAAATGGGTTTGTATGAAACGAGATCAAAGTGGTGTGGGGACACATATCGAGATATCAGCAAACACCGAGTCACAAACTACTTTACCAATTTAATATATGAAACTAGTGACTTACACCCTTGTTAAGTCATATTGAGAGAGACCAAATATGGCATAGAGTCGTCTTCCTCCGCTGATCCGGGTCCGGGTCGCGGGGGCAGCAGCCCAACTAGGGAGCTCCAGACCGTCCTCTCTCCGTTCACCTCCACCAGCTCCTCCGGCAGGACCCCAAGGCGTTCCCGGACCAGATTGGAGATGTAACCTCTCCAACGTGTCCTGGGTCGACCCGGGGGCCTCCTGCCGGCAGGACATGCCCGAAACACCTCCCCGGGGAGGCGTCCAGGAGGCATCCTGACCAGATGCCCAAACCACCTCAACTGGCTCCTTTCGATCCGGAGGAGCAGCGGTTCTACTCCGAGTCCCTCCCGAATGTCCGAGCTCCTCACCCTATCTCTAAGGCTGAGCCCGGCCACCCTACGGAGGAAACTCATTTCGGCCGCTTGTATCCACGATGTCGTTCTTCCGGTCATTACCCAAAGCTCATGACCATAGGTGAGGATTGGGACGTAGATCGAACGGTAAATCGAGAGCCTGGCTTTCCGGCTCAGCTCCCTCTTCACCACGACAGATCGGCTCAGCGGTCCCATCACTGCAGATGCCGAACCAATCCGCCTGTCGATCTCCCAATCCCTCCTACCCTCACTCGTGAACAAGACCCCGAGATACTTAAACTCCTCGTTGAGGTAGGACCTCTCCCCCGACCTGGAGTTGAGAAGCCACCCTTGTCCGGTCGAGAGCGGCATAAAGTGTGTTTCTGTTTTCCACGTCACGTAGAAGGTTGTAAATAACTCTTTTGGGTCACACAGGATTACAGCACAGCTGGGTTTTTATTTAATGGTATCTTGTGCACCTCTGGTTGTTTCAGGCTGGCTGGTTTATCAAGTACACTTCTGGGTTCAAAGAAACGGATGAATGCACTTCTATATTAAAATCTGTGAAAATGGAGAATACAGACGTGGACAAAATTGTTGGTACCCTTTGGTCAATGGAAGTAAAATCCACAGCGGTCGTATAAATAACACGAATCTGACAAAAGTAATAATAAATAACAATCCTATGAAACTGAACCAATGAAAATCAGACATTGCTTTTCAACCATGTGGTGGCACACGTGCTCAGGAGCCTCGCCTCTGTCAGAGCGCCCCGGGGCAGCTGTGGCTACATCGTAGCTCATCACCACCAGGGTGTGAACGGCTGAATGACTGACTGTGTTGTAAAGCACCTTGGGGAGTTCTAGACGGTGCTATATCAAATACAGGCCATTCACCATTTCATCAGAATTATTTAAAAATATAAACTTGTAGAACAGGCCTGGTACCTCTAGGAGAGTGACAATTATGTGACCAAAGGGACACGTGTGTCCACTAGTTAGCACCACCGGTGTCTACAATCGTGTCATCAGACTGGGCTTATATCTAGGGTTAGGGTTAGGGTTAACCCTAACCCTAACCCAGCAACATAGAAGCACGGCTGGTATTTAACTTTTAATGTGTGTTTGTGCCGGGATGGAACAGACGTGAACATCTGGCAGCACCAGATGTGAGCAGATATCACCTAAACCTGACCTGTTTCATATCTCTCTGTCCCCACAGCGAGGAGCTGAAGCTGGCCTCCCACAAGTCTCAGCATCCGGACCAGGTACCAGGTTATATAAGAGCTTTGCTTTTATCCTGTCAGACGCCATCCAGTCGCTTTAGCGTCACTCACCAACAAAGCTGTGGTGCCTGGGTTTAGTCGTGAAGGGGTCTGACCACCTGCTCCGACTGAACTCGTAAAGCTCAGACGGGTTTAAGCTTGATTTAAAGGCTCCTGTGTGTGTGTGTGTGTGTGTGTGTGTGTGTGTGTGTGTGTGTGTGTGTGTGCTCTGCAGCTCAATGACGAACACTACGGTCAGCAGGCAGACATGAAGCCCAGGTAAGACGGCAGAGATCTGCTTCATGTGATTGTTGAGAATGTTTATTTAAATATGTTTTTAAATAATAACAAACAGTCATGTGGTGTTTCTGTCGTCTGAAGCTTTTTGTTCCATCAGCCTGAACAGGAATCTTGTTGCTGTTGTTGTTTATTTTTTCTTTTGCAGCTTTTTGGTTTGTTGGAAGAATCGACGGATTAAAACCAGACAACTTATTTATTTAGTTATTTGTTGATTTGATCTTTTACAAATAGCTTAAGGACACTTTATCATATGGTTAAGGAGCTCTGTGACCCCCAAGCGTGGACAGGCTCTTACCTTCCTAAGACCGTCTCAAACTGAAATTAGCATTACAGAATTGAACGACTGTCATTGGTTCAAGAATAAAATTGATAGATGACACATATGGAGACAAACACGAACCCTGTTCGGTGCACACTCCTTCTCCGTAGATCCATTAACTTGAGCTTATTCCTTTTGACAAGCTTCTAATTTGCTCCAACCCTAACCCTAACCCTCTCATCAAATATCATCATCTTAGCAGCCCAACGTAGGCTTTCCCTACCGACAACATGTAACATATGAAATCACCTTATCCTTCAGTCTGCATGGGGGTGTTTATGCAACAAAACATTAACATAATAATGAAAATGACATGTTATTGTCTTCAACTCTACTTTTCTGTTCTGATCAATAACAACTCAAGAAAACCTGAAACAAAAACAAGGAACCACCATTTCTTTTTCATCACTTAAGATTCCCCTCATGAAGAATGGGCTGTTGACTTAGTAGGCGGTTACCCTTACCAGCATCGTCCACAGTGCAATGGAAAATCAGCTAAACAAGCTTAAAGAGCAAGTCACCCCCTACCGGAGTCACAGCGCTGATCGTTGTTGCGCAGCGCTCCAGGCTGCTGCGTCCAGCGCACGGTCCATTCTCAAAGTGGCGCAACCAAAAATTTATAATTAGCACACGATCGTTCATGTCCGCACATGTTCTCTGTTTTCTGTCTTATCTGTGCCTGAAGCGCTCTGCTACTGCGGAGCTCATCACCTGTGCTGCGGTGATTCCACCTCACTGACGCAGCATCGAAACGCGCTCTCCGCTTTGCGGTCAGGAGATCTCTTTGATCTGCTCAGAAGTAACTGATGAGGTGAAAAAGTAAGAATCCAGGCAGCAGATTTTCTGGAGAGTTTAGAGGAGATGCAGGAAGATGAGAGACAGACAGGACAGGAAATAGATCAATAAAAACAAGAAAACAAAGTAAAATGTAGGTAGATTTATCTCCACTACACGTTTTTACCTGCATAAAACAATAAGTTATACACATGTAATATTTATACACCTGATACAGTTCAGATCACCTTCAACACTCAGTCACACACCCAGGGCCGTTTCAAGACATTTTGGGGGGCCAAGGCAAAATGACCCCCCCCCCCCCAAGTATTGAGTATATTTACTGCATATTACAGTAAAATATTCTGTATGTGACCATATTATGGTGATCCTTGCGTCGTGATGATGGGGCCCTTTAATACTTGTTGCCCAGGGTACAACAAAGTGTTAATCTGGCCCTGTTAGACACTCGTTTATATAGTTTATCAGCAAAAATAAGTTGATTTGGGGGTGACTTGCTCTTTAACATTTGGCTCTTGTCTTAAAAACTCTGGAGACCCCTGGCATAGACCATAGACCAGTGGTTCTTAGTCTTGGTCCTGGAGGGTTGGTGTCCAGCATGTTTCAGTTGTTTCCCTGCTCCAACACAGTTGTTTGAGTGGCTGAATCACCTGTCCAGCAGCAAGTTTTTCTGTACAGTCGGGCTGTGATGTCATCAAACTGCTCCGGCCAAAGCTGCCAATAATTATTCTGCTTTAGACAAATATGTCTTTAAGGATCCATCCAGAGGTGTGACCAAGTCACTGCTTTGCAAGTCACAAGTAAGTCACAAGTCTTTCCAGTCACGTCTCGAGTCAAGTCCAAGTCAAAGGCAACCAAGTCCGAATCGAGTCCAAAGTCAATAATGTGGAAGTCCAAGTCAAGTTCAAGTCCTTAACTTTGAATTTTCAAGTCATAATCAAGTCATCTGTCCAACTTCAATTTAATGACGATGATAATAAATAAAATCCAGAATTAAAGTTTATTTATTTGCTCAAACAGCAGAAAGTGATTCTAAACAAAGAGCTGCTGCCTTCAGCAGAACAAGGTCAGACCCAGAACCAGGAATGGTTCATGATTTTTGTCCACGCCGGGCCACTTTTGTGCTAAAATATCAAATATGTTCAAGTCATCAAGTCAACAGATGCAAGTCGATTCAAGTCGCAAGTCTTTATAGATTTTATCAAGTCAAGTCAGAAGTCGTTAAAATAATAACGAGTCTGACTTGAGTCCAAGTCATGTAACTCGAGTCCACACCTCCGGATCCATCCGCGTCTGTCTCTGCAGAGAAACCATCTCTAATCCAGACGTAGAGGGGGAACTAAACCTGCACAAACCCACGGGCTCTTTAACCTCCGACAGAGACAGGGAGCTGGAAACTCTGAGGAATGAGGTAACTGACCGTTGTCATTTCCTACCCCCCCCCCCCCCCCCCCCCCCCAGCTCAGTAAAGTTGCCGCCTGTCTCTTCAGGTTGCCGTGCTGCGAGGAGAGAACGCCATGGCCAAGACGCTGCAGTCGGCCGTGGAGACGCTGGCGAAGGACAAAGCTCATCTGAAGGGTCGGGTTCAAAGTCTAGAGCAAAGGCTGATGGGAACACAGACCTCAGAGGGGGGAGACAGGGAGGCTCCCCCTTCGGGTGAGGAGATCTCTATGTATACCAGAGGGGAACGGCTGAATGAAACTATTTTCTGACAGGTGTTTAATGCTTTTCTAGGTGACTTGGCTCTGCAGCGGCTGAGAGAGGAGAAGGAGTTTGCTGAGGGACAGGTGAGGAACGCCACAGACGGTCAGGTTGTTTGGGGCTTCGTGCAGAAGCTTCTTTGGGTGATGCCATGTGTGTTTGACTTCATCAGATCAACTTCCTGAACAGCGTGATTGTGGACCTGCAGAGGAAGAACGAGGAGCTGAAGATCAAGTTGAAGAAGCTTGCTCTGTCTGAGTTTAATGGAAACGAGGAGACAGACGGGTAAAGATTCACTTCCATCATCATGGAATATTAGAAGCAAAGTGTCAAACACTCTCATGTTTGTGCTGTTTTGTTTGTTTCTGTAACAGTTTTCATGTTTCCAGTTGTGTTTTTACATTTGAAGGATGATCTGGAAACTCTGGTTTTGTCCTAAATTACCCAAATGTTTTTGTTTTTGAAGAAAAATGAGACGAATGTCCCCCCAGCCCATACGAAGCCAGTCAGCATTTCAACCAATGAGTTTGTCCTCATCTGGGTTTTAGCACCCCAAACCCATGTGTTAACTTCTGCTGTCAATAGGGGGCGCCAACTGAACATGTTAAAGAGCAGGTTCACTGAGAAACCGTATTTTACGTGTTATTTTTGAAAATGACCAGTAACACCGAGTTTCACGTGCAGGCTGAACATAGAAACAGTCTTCCACCCCTTGTCCTGCTTTAGCTTCTGATAGAAAATAGATGGAAAAAGACTCGGTTCAGAAAAGCCTGACAAGTCTACGTCACACTGTTGTGTCATGTCATGTCTGGCTAAAATGCAAAGATCCTTAAAACATTTTAACACCTTTTAACTGACACTGACCCTAACCCCGGTGCCAGCAGGTGCAGCTCAGTGAGGCACTGGTTTGGTTACACAGCCACTGGTTCAGGTCAGTGCTGTAGCAGACCAACTATCAACTGGTAAACAGTCCAGCCACTCTCCATCGTAGCCTCAGCAGGTCTACCACTGGCCCGAACAGTTTTGTGTCTGGCCAATCACAGTGTTCTACATTTGTTGGGCGGGCCTGACTCTAGAGCTGCGATGGGAAAAACAACAACAAAGATGGCGTCGGCTCTGGACTGCTGCTCGTTTGAAATGGTTTTGGCGTTTCTTTGTTGGGTGATTTATTAAATTGATCAATTTATGAAACAACAGAAATAGTTGAGGTTGTTGTTGGACGCCATGACAATCCCATTCTTCTTCTTCTTCTCTGGTGCGGAGCGTCCCGCTGACTGTGCTTTGTCACGATGAGTACGTCCCACCGGCCGTTGCTCTGATTGGTCCTAGCGCTGTCCAGTTGTGTTCAAAGACAGTTCGATAGACAACTGTACATTCTGCCCTTATGAGTCAGCTGTTCAATGGTTCGTAGCCAGACATTAGATTTTAGGGTGTCCTGCCAGGTTATGTTAGCCTACAGTTGTCTTTCAAACTGTCTCTGCATGTCACTGGACAACAAACAACGTGATGTCTCACCGCTATGGATGCCAGTGAACGGGGCAGTCCACCGTATACCATTGAAGATACAAATACATCCTTTTTCTAAATAAAGGACTTAAAAACCTCCATCTGCTCTTGACTCAAGAAATGCCCAAATCTAAATGGTCCAGAGTTCTGCCAAAGCCGTTTTAAATGAGTCACCGCCAACTTAGTTGTTCCGCTCTGTCGCATCATCCCGCCCACCAAACTGATAGAGCGCTGTGGTTGAGGCCTGCCGAGGCTAAACCACCATGCAGAGCTGCGGATACTGTGTAGAGTTCCTATCCAGGGCTAACCAGTAATGGCTGCAAAAGGAAAATCTTTTAGTCAAAAATGAAAAAAATCTAAACTGAAAATTAGGAGTTCAGCTAAACATTTACATTGAGCTTGAACATTTTTAACCTGTTTAACCCGAACCTACAACTGTCCTCTTTCTCCAAACACAACTAAAACCACAACCAGGCAGCCCGGATGGCAACAAGACCATTTTAAATAGTAATAAATGAAGATGCAACGATATTTGGACTTTATTTTAGAAGAGCATCTGACCTTCTCTGGTGTCTGCTGGAAGAGAAAACCTTGAACAAATGTAGTTGAGAATAAATAAAACGACTGACTAAATTTCCTGAATGGAATTTGAACTCACAACCTCCATCCTGTCAGCACGTTCACACAGGGCAGCTCTTCTAAAATAAACTTCAAGTATTATTTTATCTTGAGTATCACTGACACTTGGGACGCGAAACTCCAAAGGCCCCCGATTGGGAGGCGCCAGGGCCCAAAGAAAAAGGGCTGAAGGGTTAAGAACGTAATTTTTGTTCATAAAAATGATCTCCTAGTTTCTTATTTTGTGTTTTCATTTGTGGTACTGTAGGTTTGACGGCAGCATGTCGAAGCGTGACAAGAGAGCCACCCCTCGTCTCTTCTGTGACATCTGCGACTGCTTTGACCTCCACGACACGGAGGACTGTCCCACTCAGGCTCAGAGCCCCGACTCTGTACCACACACCACCTACCACGGGAACCCGGCAGACGAGAGGCCGTACTGCGACATCTGTGAGGCCTTCGGTCACACCACCGAATCCTGCAACGACGACCAGACCTTCTGAAGCTGTTTACTTCCTCCTCTCCTTAAACGCTTCTCATAATCCCGCCCTACATGACAGACCCCAGCCCAGAGTTTTCCATGATGTATTTTTATACAGTATCGATGCGTGTAACGAGTAGCCGCTGTCCTAATTTAAATCCTCGTGTTCGGACTATCATGCAGAAATTCTTGTCCAAACATGCTTCTCTGGTGCAATATTGATATTTATAACTAACACAATTTGCTCTGTCCACTCGAAGTTTTTAACATGTTGTTTTCTACAGGAAGTAGAAGTAAGTGGTTTTCCTGTTTCTCATACTTTATTTATTATTGGCAACAAGGTGATGCAACCAAATGAAGCCCAGGTGAAAATGAAGCAGTTAGGAAATGTGTCAGCCAGTCAGAGCTCCTAACACTCCTAACAAATCATTTATGTAGGTAACATTTAGTAAAGCTGCTATGGAGAAGCTACAGAACAAGCTAGGTTTTAAACGCAAACATGGTGGCTGAACCCCTCCCCCTAGATATTTTCCCTGACATTCTTCTGCTGGAACTGGAAACCCGCAACGCTGGAGGAAACGAGAGAGCGCTAAACACCAGTCGTCATTTTCTAGGTCCTAACGTCTTTTATTGTCTGCAACTTCAAACTGTGTTTTTGCTTTTGGGACTCTGGTAGTTTGTCCTAAAGTTGAAGTGGTAGCAGCCGGCTGTTTCTCCTTCTCTGATATTATTGAGCGGAGAACCTCTCACAGCAGTGGTGTTCTGTTGCTAAATACGTGAGCGTGTGATGAGTCGCAAAAAGAAAAACACCATTTGAAGTCACGAAGAAAAAAAGACGTTTGGACCTAAAAAAAATGGCAACTGGTGTTTAGTGCTCTGATTTTCTGTGGTATCACTGGTTTCCAGTTCTGGCAGAAGCATCTCAGGGAAGATACCTGATGGGAAGGCTGAATGATCCATGTCTGTGGTCAAAACCCGGCTTGTTTGCAGATTTGTTATAACAGCTTCAAACCCGTGCTCTTTTGGGCCGACTTGCTTCCATGTTTAGTTTAAACTCATCATTCTACTAAATACAGATGTTTTTGTTAGTTAGTTAGTTAGTTAGTTAGTTAGTTGTAGTATTTCCAAAGCTGAGGTAGGGATATTTTGTACCAAAAACAGCAACAATATTTTGGTACGAAAGTCATGGAAGAGCCCAACTTTTTTTTCTAGAAAGTAAATAGATGGTGGTGGAAAAATGCAAGAGAAAAAATGTTAGCAGTTGTATATTTTTATTGAAAAAAATGTAATATTCAAAGAGAAATCTTAAAGGTAGAGTGTAAGTCCTGGAAAAAATGTTCTAGCAAGCTACATTTGTAAAAGTCCTAATTCAAACCCATTTTGTTAGGCTCCGCCCCCAAAGCCACACATCCGAAATACAAGAAAATGGACACATTGGATATTGTCAAACAACCATAAAACATAATGTTATCTTACCTTTTCAACTTGTTGTTGGCACCTTTTCTGCCATAATACCCAACAAAGCACACCTACATAACAGCCATAGAGCCTCCAGGGTTGATTTTACTTGGTGTAATAAATGCATGAACTAGTTTTTCAGCATCACTCCTGGAAAGGATGCTTCTAATCTTAGCAATATTCAGAGGTGGGAAAAGGAAATAGTACAAACCTGTTTAACCTGGGATTTGAATGACATGTCCTGGTCAAAGATAACACCAAGGTTCCTTACTTTGTTCTCGGAGATTAATGTAATGCCATTCAGGTCAGGCGATTGACTAAGCAATTTCCTTTTCTGGATTTCTGGTCCAAAGATGAGAACTTCCGTCTTGTCTTGATTTAAAAGCAAAAAGTTTAGAGTCATCCAATTTTTATGTCCTCAAGACAAGCCTGTAATCTACCCAACCGATTAGGTTCATCAGGGTTAATGGATAAATATAACTGAGTATCGTCAGCATAACAGTGGAAGTTTATCCCATGCTGTCTAATGATTTTACCAATTGGGAGCATATATATAATAAAAAGAATTGTCCAAGCACTGAACCCTGTGGTACTCCACAAGTAACCCTGGAGTATGAAGAAGATTTGTCATGTACATTTACAAAATGAAATCTGTCAGACAGGTAGGATTTAAACCAGCCTAGCGCTGTTCCTTTGATCCCTACAACATGTTCAAGACTTTCTACAAGAACATTGTGATCTACTGTGTCAAAGGCAGCACTGAGATCTAACAAGACTAGAACAGACACAAGATTCTTATCTGAGGCCATGAGAATATCATTTGTAACTCTCACTAATGCAGTTTCAGTGCTGTGATACTCTCTAAAACCAGACTGAAATTCCTCAAACAGAGCATTCGTGTTTAAATGCTGACATACTTGGATGGCCACTATTTTCTCCAGGACTTTGGATAAAAATGGAAGGTTAGATATTGGTCTATAATTCATTGGGTCATCTGGATCCAGAGAAGGCTTCTTAAGTGAAGGTTTGATTACAGCAACCTTAAAATCCTGTGGTACATACCCATTTACTAAGGATAGATTGATTATATCTAGAATGGGGGCAGTAACCAAAGGAAATGCTTCTTTAAATAATTTGGTTGGGATTGGATCCAAAATGCAAGTTGAAGGTTTAGATGAAGCTAATATTTTTGATAACTCTGAAAGCTCAACTGGATCGAAACGGTTCAAGCACAGATGAGGTTCTACAGTCACCTCTGATGCTGCCTCACTTACCGAGGAAGAAGAAATCGCATTAGGGAGGATGCTAAAGATTTTGTTTCTAATAGAATTAATTTTACTTGTAAAAAATCCCATGAAGTCATTGCTGCTGAGGGCTAAGGGAATAGATGGCTCAGAGCTATGATTCTGTGTAAGTTTAGCAACTGTACTGAAAAGAAATTTAGGATTATTCTTATTCTCCTCAATTAATGCTGAGAAATAAGCAGTTCTAGTTTGTCAAAGCTTGTTTTTATAAAGCACAAGACTATTTTTCCAGGATAGGTAGGCCTCCTCATGGTGCGTAGAGCGCCATGTTCTCTCCAATTTCCTAGAGTTTTGTTTTATAAATGATAAATGACCCGCACTTGTATAGCGCCTCTCAGAGTAAGGACTCCAAAGCGCTTTACACTACAGTGTATCATTCATCCATTCACACACTGATGGTGATGAGCTACGATGTAGCCACAGCTGTCCTGGGGCGCACTGACAGAGGTTTGTAAATCAGAATTAAACCAGGGAGCCAACTTCCTGTGCTTAATTACCTTCTTTATTAAAGGGGCAACATCATCTAATGCCACACGTAAAGAAGAAGTAACATTATGAACTAAATCATGAATTTGTGAGGGGCTAGAAATGAAAATATTGCCCTCTGCTACGTGCCTCTGAGATGCTGAAGATGGTAAAGATGGAGCAGTTGATTTACACCATTTACAATTATTTTTTTTTTTTGACTAAACATTTAATTGACTGGCTGCCATCAGTGTGTGAAGAGCATTTCAAGTAAATAGTAAAAAAAAAGGCTTCAGAAAAATGTCTCATAATCCTCTTTAAACACGATATTTATCCAATATCCTTAGAAGGAAAACTACCCAGTGAGTTATAATACCCAGACCAACAGTTTATCATTACATCTGCTTTCCAACACAACCCATCACTTTATTATAGCTATGCATTTTAATATATTGTCTCAGTTTTTCTTAAACATTTCATCCTTTGGACATATTACTACTTTATTACCAGTATAACTGAAGTTACTGTATGAATACTATTAGATCACACTGTTACTTTTATTCTCAGAATTGTTTTATTTTCCACTTTATTTTATAAATACCATGATCATTGGTCATTATTTTATTATCATGTCTTATTTTCTGTGAAAACTCTTCTCGTATTTTCAAACGTAATTTTATACCTCATGTTGACTAAAGGAATATATTTTTATTTGTAAAATGGGTCAAGCTTAGTTTTGGGTTTAAAACTTTTATTTTAACACAAATGAAATCCTATAAATCAAGATCCAGTTATTGTTGTCCTTCTGCACTTTCAGCCTTAACCTCACCTGTTGATAGGTGAACCGAGGAGTTTTAGTTTTGTTATTCTTGTTTTAATCTTAACAATACAGATGAAGACTCAAGAAAAATGTCAAGTCAACCTCAAGCTAAAGCTTCAATAGCAAATCTGCTAAACAAGCTAGCTTTTCACCCTGAACACGGTCATGGAACACTCACCCCTTCATCCCTAGGCCCACATCTTTCTGATACCAGAGGAAACAAGAGAGCGCTAAACACCAGTCGCCGTTATTTAGGTCTAAACATATTTTGTTGTCTGTGACTTCAAACTGTGTTTATCTGTTTGGGACTCTGGCAGTTTGTCCTAAAGCTGAAGTGGTAGCAGCCGGCTGTTTCTCCTCTGATATTATTGAGCGGAGAACCTCTCACACCAGTGGTAACCTGCTGCTAAATATGCGAGTGTGTGATGAGTGGAGGACCCATGGAAGTGCTGAGACCGAGAACTGGATGGTCCAATCATTGGTTTCGGACCGAGCCGTGTTATTGGCTGAGGTTTTTAGACAAATGCGAGAGAATCACTTCATTATTGTTTGAATGCTGTTAAGCATTCAGCAGCTTCAGCAATCCGTTTCTGAATTCGGCTTATGCTACTCATTTCACAGTTCAACTAAATATAAAAATGAAACTGTTAAACTAGTCCTACTGAAATAACAGGTGTTTAGACATTTTTGCTGTCCAGATTTTTAAATAATGTTCAGATTTCAGTTTTCTGCTGTTTAGGATTGTTTTCTCCGTTCTTCTCTTTGTGCTTTATTTACATTTTGGTGCTTTTTGCTTCTACATCTTTCAAAACATTCAGCTCATTTTAACAGTTTTGCTTCGCTTCAGCTTCAGCAATTAGTTTCTGAATTCAGCGTATGATGCTAATTTCACGGTTCAGCTAAATGTAAAAACTAAACTGTTACAACTAGTCCTACTGAAATAACAGGTGTTTAGACATTTTAGCTGTCCAATTTTTTTCAACAGTGTTCACAGATTTGAGTTTTCTGCTATTTAGGATTAGTTTTCTTGATTCTTCACTTACTTTTTGTGCTTTTTTTGCTTCTTGGTGCTTTTTGCTTTCACATCTTTCACTACATTCAGCTCATTTGACAGTTTAGCTTAGTTTCAGCTTACTTCAGCTATTCAACAACTTCAACAATCAGTTACCAAATTTAGCATAAACTGCTTATTTCACAGTTCAGCTAAATGTAAAGATTAAACTGTTAAACTTGGCAAAGTGAAATAACAGGTGTTTAGACATTTTAGCTGTCCAGATTTTTATTTAATGTTCACAGATTAAAGTTTTTTTTTTGCCATTTAGTATTATTTTTCTCTATTCTTCACTTACTTTTTGTGCTTTATTTGCTTGTTGGTGCTTTTTGCTTCTACATCTTTCAAGACATTCAGCTCATTTTGACAGTTTTGCTTAATTTCAGCTTCAGTTCAGCTGTCCAGCATTCAAACAGCATTTGTGCAATAAATGCAATTTTTCTAGTTATTATTTAATCTTCACAGTATATTTATAGCCACTACATTAGAATGTTAAGAGGCTTGAAAAAAACGTTTTAAGCTAGCTTGGTTTGCAGATTAGCTATACCAACTTTAAAGGGAAAAATGGCGCTTAAATAATGAGCTTTTATTCCTAAACACAAAACACTGATGAAGCTCCTCACGTATCCTGGTCATGATAGTCCTGGTAGGTTCAAATGAAAGTAGCTGGACATCTTCGGGTCCTTGAAGACATTTTGTTTCTCATTTGAGGAACTTAGTCAAAAATGAAGTGAAGTAAGCAGAGATCCAAGCTTATCAGCTGTGGTGAGCTGTTAATGCTACGCTAGCTGAACTCCTCTCTACCTCCAGAGAAGGCCTCAGATGCGTCAGGCCGGTCCATTTGTGAGATGTTTTAGTCAGATGCTGAAATGTGTGAATTAGACTGAAACTGTCTGGGATTAGGTTCAGGTTTAGGTTATTGGTGTTACACGATTACCCAAGTCACTTGTTTGGGTTAAGACTCGGCGGTCTACCCACAGCTTTAAAGAGCGCACGTCTGTTTGTTGAGCTCTATTGGCTATCCTTGGCCTTCCATGTCACTGATGTTAGCCCACAGAATCCTGATTGGAAAGACTCCCATCTGTTTGAAGGCTGATGTCATAACTTGGTCACTTTGGTCATCAAAGGATTGTCGTTTAGCTGTGCCTACACCAGGCTCAGGACAATCCAGACTCGTTTACTGTGTCGTTCCATGAGGGTGGAGCCACCTACCAAGCGCTAACAGAGCAGCAGTATCCCCGTCTATCTTCAAGAATACTATGGGACCAAAATCTTCAGAGAGCATCTCCTATCCTAGCACATATCCTTCCCCTACTCTTCTACACTTCACTCTCAGCATGTTCTAGTTAGAAATGACCACGCGCCTCATGTCAGAACCAAAGAAGTCCATTACCTTCATTTGAACCTTCAAGGATAAACATAAAACACTTTTCTGTTGCAGGTTTGACTTTTCTGTAATAGCTTTAAGGACTTTCTTACTGCTTTAATGGTGTGGTTTACTAGTTTATTCAATACATTTGTAGTGTTCTATAGTGTAAATCAATGCCTTATGAGTCATTGAAAAAGTAAAAAGCTATGTGTCCGGTTTGGAAGGCTGAGCTGACGTGGAGCGGAAGTTGCTAGTCGCGTGGCTGTGTGACCCAGACGCGGAGTAGCTGGCGTTGGGTTGGACAGAGCACGCGGTTTTAATCTAGGAACAGCGACTCAGTGCTCGGAGAGAGCCGAGACTGAGCAGTGGTTCTGGATAAACAAAAGAGCTGACTTACTGGTGGTAGGCAGCGTGGAAGGATGTCTTCCTTGGTGAGAATGGCTGGAGAGCCTGAGAACTCGGTTCAGTGTCTGGAACAAACGATGACTGAGTGATCACTTAGCGGCGATGATGTAGTCGAGCCACGCCGGTGATAGGGATGCTGGGTAGTGTAGTACTCAGACTAGTTGAGTCCGTGGGGGGTGGTCAGGAGTTGGAGTTCGTGACAGGACCCCCCCTCGAGGCACGGCCCCGGAAGTCCCCGGACGGCGGGCCCAGAAGTCGGACATGAGAGTCGGATTCAGGAACAAGCGAGCGGGCTCCCAAGTGTGCTCCTCCGGACCGTAACCTGCCCAGTCCACCAGGCACTGTCAACCACGGCCGCGGCGGCGGGCATCCGGAATCCTGCGGACAGTGTACACACGATCACCATCCACATAGCGTAGCGGAGGCACCGGGGCCAGAGGAGGGTGAAGAGGGGAGGAGACCACCGGCTTAAGCTGGGAGACATGGAAGACCGGGTGGATCCTGAGAGAGGCCGGGCGGCGCAGCTGGTACGTGACCGGATTGATGACCCCATGGACAGGGAAAGGTCCTAGGAAGGGGGGGGGGGGGGGGGGGGGTTTGCAGGAGCCGGACGGCATCCTCAGATTGGCAGAGGAGAGCCACGCCTGGTCACCGGGCTGGAAGATGGGGCCAGGGCGGTGGCGGCGATGTTGGTGGGAGTACTCCGCGTTGGTCCGAGTGATGGCTGCACAGGCCCGGATCCAGGCGAGGCGACACCGGTGGACCAGAGTCTGAGCAGCAGGGACTTCCACTTCAGGCACCTGGTGGCCGAACAGCAGGGGCTGGTACCCATAACGCGTCTCGAAGGGAGACATTCCAGTGGCAGAGGAGACGTGGAGGTTGTGGGACAGCTCCGCCCACAGGAGGAAGCGAGGCCAGGTCGATGGTTTTGACGAGGTGAAGCAGCGCAAGTAGGATTTTCAAATTCTAGCATTTCACCGGAAACTAATGCAGGAGATAGGTGTTGGAGGCCAAATATAATAGGAACTAATCATAAAAAAAAAAATTCAGTCAACCACACCTTTAAAGTTTCAATGTGAGGTTGGCCTGATTTCTAAACCAAACCGAGTTCAGGCTCAGGGATGAACATCGGTGTGCTGACATGCTGAAGCGAAGCCACTGAAAATGGTTTTCTTAGTTCTTATTGACGTTGTTGCTTTAGTTTTTAATTGTTTATTATTTCTGATTATTTTTTATTTACTAGCTAGTGAAAGTTCTCTAATGAAGCATCGTTTAAAGAGGATAACTGTAAGAACTGCTAACTTCGGTTTGCACTCTACACTTTAGAAATTCAGCATTGAAGAAATCTAATTTTGTTTCTGGAGTTATTCCAGTTTTAAGATGAAAGACTGACTTGTGTCAAAGGTCCCTCTGAAGCAAAGGTTTGGCATTTTGGGAATTGTGATTGTTTGAGTCAGAAGATCAAATAAAAGTTTTAGTGAGTTTAGCTGAAGATGACTTAAATCCTGACTAAAACTCAACCAAGCACACACGTGTTTTTATGTTCCTCCTGTAGTTAATCTGCACATTGGTGTGTTTAGCTTAGCACAAAGCATGAAGCTGGGAACAATTAGCGTCGCTCTGTTCTGGTCATGATCACTTCTCGCTGAAATGTCAAAATCCTATTTTTACACTTCGTATTTTATACTCGGATATTAAAAAATAAATATTTGTGATACGTTCTGTTCCCCGTTTCCTAGCAGAGTTTGGCTAACAAGCCGCTAGATTTAGGTGTTCTAAAGTCAAAAAGCTAATTTCCAAAAGAGTTTAAATGGAGCTTCTGTAGAAATATGTAAAATATCAGACTTATTTTGTTCTAAAGCACAATATTTTATCATATTGAATCTTCCAGCGTGATGCAACAAACTGTTGACACTGTAAATAGCAATCAGACGTGATTTTCTGATGCATGAGTACGCAGTGCCACAAAACACAATTCTACCTTTTTATGTGTCCTCTGTTTTAGTTTTCTGTCCACTGAGCAGAAAATGTCCGTTTGTATGAGACTTTAAATATAGCGTAGTTTAAAAGTGACGGGTCTAATTATTAGTGATGTTTTATACGTAACACGAGTATTTTACACATGTCCTTGTGGTGTAAAATGTCACCGTTTTTTATGTACTGTGTACTCCTGAACAGTTGAATACCAATACTGAAAAACACTCTGCTGTGCTGTGTTTATACTCTAAAGCGAGACGAAAACCTGCTGTGACACATTTAACGAAGAGTTTTACCTCCTGACATGTTTCTTTTTTCCTTTTTGTCCAACTTAAAGACCAAGTTATCTAAGAGAGTTTCCTACTTGTTATTTTTGAAGGATCACTCTTTCACATCCAGGCAGAATGTGAAAATAGTCTCACTCATGCAGCCCCACATAAGGACATCGCCACCACCGTGCTTCACTGTAGGCTCCATGCATTTGTCTTTGAAATCCTCACCTTTACGACGCCGTGCAGTTTAGAAACCATTAGTTCTAAACAAAAGTCTCATCACTCCAGAGTCTAGAGTCCCAGTAGTCTCCATCTCTTCCAGCATGGGCCCTAGCGAATCCTACATGTGCTTTTTTGTGCGTGGGCTTTAGGAGAGGCTTCCTTCATATCGATTCCCATGCATGCCATTCCTCTGCGGTGTGCGCCGTATGGTGTCACGGGAAACGGTGACTCCAGTTTGGCTTTCTACTGCTTTAGCTAACTGCAGTGAACTTGCATGGTGATTTTCTTCAACCCTTCTCATCAGAAGATGCTCCTGTCCAGATGTGAACTTCCGTAGACGGCCAGCATGTCTCAGTAAGATGGCTGCACTTCCATCTTTCTTAAATGTTTGGATCATTTTTGCTACTTTGTTTTGACTGATATGAAAAGGTAGCCCTCACCTTTTTGTGTAAGGAAATGATTTCCTTTCTCAGATGTTGTGAGATTTCTCTTCCATGTGGAGACGTTGCTGCCAGCATGAAATGGGAAGGGCTCCTCTTTAATAATGCCCTTTTATAGTCACCTGACTGCTGGACACGTCTTGCATGAATCAGACTCACCTGTGGTTGAATGACTGTTAGTTAGGATTTTGTAGTCCTAACTGTGGCTTTTCTTCTCAGATAAATGGGGTGTACCTATTTTTGTGACATTGACTTGAACAGATTTGTTAGGAAAATGTTCACTTTTTAGCAAATGAACAAATCTTGTTTGCAATCATTGGCTCCCATGTGTAGGAGTGTTTTCTAGTTTGGTGTCTCTTAGAAAATGTTGGTTCTGAAAGGAAGCTAAAGGTGTTCTGACAAATGCGGTGGGGCGGACTCATTTATGCTGAGAACTGTAATAATTTAACTCTGATCAACAAGCTGCATAGTGGAGCAGTTGGTAGCACTGTTGTCGCGCAAGGTTGCAGGTTTGAATCCCGGCTGCAGCCTTCCGTGTGGAGTTAGCATCGTCATTAGGGGTTCAGTTCACTGCTTTGATGTTGCTCCGTTTGTTTCCTGGTCTCCTGCTCTGCATGATGCAAGGAGTCCAGCTCGTTCACAGATTCTTAATCATTACAGGAGCGATGCCAGACTTCGGTCAGTCCTTCCAGCGCTTCATGGATTTACAGGTAAGACCACATTTCTGCCCACCCAGTGAGCCAGTGTACCCAACAGTCACTAATCAAGATTGGAGCCAAAAGAAATGTATTTTTTTTCTACTGTTCTTACTGAGCTGAGGCCTTCTGAGGTCAAATCTATCTGACTTGTTTTTGGGTTGATCCAAAAATCTATTTGAAAGCTTTTCTGTCACAAATAACTTCCTGTGAGGCAGAACGGTGTCCTTGTCGTTTATCATTTGGTCTGTGGGATGAATTTGGAGCATCTGGAGAAAACCCACTCACGCATAAGGAGAGCATGCTGACGCCACGCAGAATGGCTGCAGCTGGGATTTGAACCTGCAACCGTTACCTACTGTGCTGCTGTGAAGCCTTGATCCACACACTTCCCCTGCAGTCGTACTGAAGCAGTGAAGGCATTGGCCCTAAGTGTAAACCATCTAAGTGCCCACTAGAGGGAGACAGAGACCACTCCTCGTGTTCTCATGCCGCCCCCCCCCCCCCCCCCCCCCCACACACACACACACTCTCAGAGAAACCTTATTCCGTTTTAAAAGTTGAGTTTGGGTTTAGTTCAGCTATTTTTATGTTGCTGCAGTTGGTGGAACCTGTGCCTCACAGTGAGAAGGTTGCTGGTTCAGAACCCAGTTGTGACCTTTCTGCACAGTTAACGTCTTTACAGATCCCATGAGGAACAGACATGTTAGAAATCAAGGATGGGGCTGAAATTCACATTGTAGCTGCATCCCCACGGTGGCAGATGGCATTAAAAAGATGTCACATATGGTTTTTACAGATTTTATTTGTATTTCACTGCTGCACAAAGTAGATGAACCCCTGAGAAAATCAGTGTTATTTGGTACAGAAGCCTTTGTAATGACAGAGGTCAAAGGTTTCCTGTAGTTCTTGACCAGGTCTGCACACACTCTTCCTCTAAATCTGTCAGGTTTTTGGTCTGGCCGCTGAGCAACACAGAGTTTCAGCTCCTTCCAAAGGCTTTCTACTGGATTTAGGTCTGGAGACGGCTAGGCCACTCTAGAACCTTCAAATGCTTTGGGTCATTGTCATGTTGGAAGACCCAGCCACGACCATCTTCAGTGCTCTGACTGAGGGAAGGAGGTTGTTGGCCATTCATCTTGTCCCCTTTGGCAGAAAATCACCCCCAAAGCATGATGTTTCCACCCCCGTGCTTCACATTAGAGATGGTGTTCTTGAGATAGAGCTCCTCCTCATCCTTCAGAGCAAAGGTGAGTAATTAAATAGTTAAGTCATTTTAGGGTTTACTGGAAGGTTCTCAGTGTTTTATCATTTTATTTACTGCTTGTCTGTGTCTGCACTTTGTGTTTCTCTGACTGTTGGAAACGTGCTTTATAAACACACCTGACACTGACATCATACTTCTGTTAACAAGGATGTTTGCTCTGTTTATCCTGCAGACCAAACTGAGACAGTTCAGGTCAAAAACAGAGTTTCTAACAGAAACCCAAACAGGAGAAGCAGAAACAGACGAGCAGAGACAAAATGAGATTCATAGAAGAAGATTTTAAAAGAAACGACCACAAATACACACGACAGCTGCAGACAAAAACCAGGAAGGCCAGATGAGGAAGAGCAGTAATACGACAGGAAGTGAAGGAAATGGATAATGTAACTAAAACCATAAACATTTATAAAACAGGGACTGGAAACGCTCCATCCCATCTAATCCTCCTTTAATTAGGGTGAAAGGAAAAGTCGCCTCCTCCTGGATTAGTCCCGGCACATTGACAAAGCACCGTACTGGGACCAGTATACTGGTGGCCAGTTAGCACCAGCAGCTTTCCTCTCATGTGGTTGAACTGGCAGAATGAGTTGCAGCAGACGATTGGTTCGTTTCCAGTCTTTTCCCCATTTTTACTCCAGCTTGATGGGAATCTTTGGTCCCATTATCCAGTCTTTTTGCTAATCCGTCAGGGTGCTTGGTCCTCCTCGTTATCTTTCCTCATCCTTCGCTATCTCTCTTCATGCTCCGTCTGCCCATCAGCCCTCTTCCAGGTCAATAAGAGAGGATCAGGCTCACCGACGGAGACTGGAGTTACAAACGTCATAAAAATTGCATGTTAGCCATCAGCGGTCGCCTCTCAGCAGATTCAACTGCAGCTCAGGATTTGTAAATTTGATAGAGTTGTTTTTGTGCTTTTATGTGGGCCACTTTTGTCTTGTTTATGCTGCCTGTAGTAACGGTTTTAGTCCAGCAGAGGGCAGAAAAATCCTTTCCTTTAGAAAACCAGAGGCTTTAGTTACAGTGGGATGCAAACGTTTGGGCAGCCTTCATGATTTTCCTGTACACATTTATGGTTGTGATGATAAAAAGTCACAGCTGCATATATCGTATTAGAGACACACACATATCTGAGAAGTAAAACGAAGTTTATAGGATTTTGAGGAAGTGTGCATCAAATGTTTAAACAAAATTAGGCAGGTGCATAAATGTGGTCCTAATTATTGGAACAACCAACTGGTTTGGTAACCTCAGTGACCCTTGACCTCTGTACACAGGTGAATCCAGGCATGAGAGAGTATTTAAGGGTCTCCCTCCTCTTTGAATATTCTCTGAAGAGAAGCAACATGGTGGTCTCTAAACAACTCTCACACGACCAAACTTTCTCATCCTACTGGATGTTTGTTTCCATTCAGTTGGCCTAAATATTACATGTAAATTCCTTATAGACACAGTATGTTAGTTTCAACCAAACCGAATGTCAAATAAAAGCAATAATATAAGTTTATAAGTTCAATAACCAACTGCAGAATAGAAAGGCAGTTTATGCTTACTGTTTTTTCTGTCTTTTACTTTGGTTTAGTTGGTGAAAAACTTCCTCATATTGTTGCCTTGAAGAATGGGGGCTTTTCGCCCTTCTGTGGCAAAAAATGGAACAACACTCCGGTTTTCCAACAGCGTTTAGAAAAGAAGCTGAGATGGGTAGCCATTGTTTTGTTCTTTTTTACACAGTTTAGTGAAAAAGTTTAGTTTACTAAACTGTGTAAAAAAAACGAAAAACAAAGATAAACACGAAATGAATGCACAAAAGAGAAGATGGGCGTTGCCGTCCTCCAGTGTCTGAAAGCTAATGCTACACTTTTTTCTTTTTTACCATTCAGAAGAGAATATATTATCCACCTTATCTTAGTGAAGCTTAAAAAAACACTCATCTTTAGTTTTAGCCCTCTTGGGAATATTAACATTAAATAGTAGAAACACTTCCTCTAAATTTGTCCAAACGCCAAAGCTTGTTGCTGCCTTGAAAGAACGGGGAATGTATGCCCTCTGCTGGCCGAATACAGAACAACACTCTGGTTTCCAACAGCATTTGGAAAAGCAAGGATGGGAGATACTGCCCTCCAGTGTCTGAAAGCTGGTACTACACTTTTCATCATTTAGAAGAGACTATTTAGCCTCTTTATCTTATTGAAATTTAAAAAAGTCATCTCTGTTTTGTAGCTAGCTGCTAATAGCTCCAGCTTTAGCTGCTTTATTTATTTAACCATGTTGAACACGAATAATTAGAACAGATTTGTTGAGTTTTAGTGAGAGAAGGCTCTCCCGTCATTT